TTGCAAGGTGTGAAGGAAGAGTCTGATAGTGGACACACTGTCCTTACCTGTTTTGTGACAGGTCTTCATGCTGTCAAATTCTTGAGATAACACTACTTTCAAGCAACAGCCAGCTGGCTTAATGAGACCAAAGTGAGTGGTCAGTTTACTCACATCAGGGTGGGATTTTTTTGGATTCATGGGCTTTGTTTGGATTGGGGGTGGGGGGGTGGTTGTGTGTGTCTTCCTTTTTTTTTTTTTTTAAACTTTACCTCCTCTACAAACAAAATCAGCAATTGAGAAATCATGGAGCAGAATTCATACCACAGGGTTAGGGCCTGTACCATGGAAACCAGCCAGTAACAGACTTATTTCAGTACCTCCCTGCACAATCTACTTTCCTATTTTGAAACAAAAAAGGTTTTTATTATAGCTTTTTATTAGATCCTCTCATTTGACTTGATTTTAATTGGTAGGGAGGAGGAAAGAGAGGGAGAGCTGAACTGAAGAGATGAGTGACAGGGGCAGCATGCGCATGCCTGTATTATTAGCTCTGTTGCCCTGATGACTGTCAACGTTCTGTTTTGCGCAGGCACAGGACAGAAAGGAGTATAAATAAAATACCACAACCACCGCCACAGCAACGAACATTCAGAATAAAACAGAGCAAACAAAAAAACCAGCCAACAACCCGAAGCACGCATCACCAGACGTAAGTAAACCCTGATGCAAGCTCCTTCCCGCCTCCCCCAGCAGCTTCCTGCCGGCAAATGCCGCTAAGAGCCCTCCGCCTCAGCTCTCCTGCCGCCTCCAGCCTCACGGGAGGGAGATTCCAACAAGGCAGAGGGGCAGAAAACGTACCTGGGGAATGGCAGGGATCAGAGAGAAGGAACCGCTACCTGCGCAGCCTCTCCCGCCCGGCCGGTCCCTCAGCAGGGAGAAGGGGAGGCGATAATCCACTCCCAGCAAGCAGCAACAGCTCTGCCAGCCCTGGCTGCTCCTCCCCCGGCGTTGGCGCTAGTGCCACACAGAGTCCCGCCTCGAAAGTCACGGCTTCTCTAGACCAGCAGCGAAAGCCTCAAGTCTGGAGCTTGGGAAGACCGAGAGGGATTCCCGGATACCTTCCTACCTCTCTTGGCGCGGTGAATGGCTCACTGCCGGGCAGAGGCGGCAGACAAGCGGTGACTACATCGGAGCTGTCAAACAGGCGTCACGTTGATAACGTTGAGCAACGGACCACTCCCGAGCCCACGGCATCCAGGAGGGTGAGGATTTGTGTCTCACACACCCAGCCCTCCACTTCCCATGTCATTTCATCGTAACCGGTACACATTAAAAAAGTTGCTTTCTACACAGCCTTTCCCGGGGCTGTGGGAAGGGGCATGGGGAAGCTACGCCATCCTCTCTCAGACCACAGCACAGCAGTTGGATGTCAGGTGCAAAGAAAGGATAAGGATCTCTAGCTGATTTGGCTCTGGATGGATGCAGAAGAAATGCACTGAGGCAGGCAAAAGAAATTTCTTTTGCGTATTTGTGGTGTTGCCATCAACACATTTTGACTTCTCAAAGGATCAAGTGTGCCCACCACGAGGGAATGACACAGACCTCCTCTCTCAACCTCATTTTGCAAACTACACTGGGTACATGTGAAAAGCAGATTCAAATGCTCCTAGAATTAAGCAGACTACAAATCTGAGAGAAAAAGTGCAAGAAACAGAATTACCCAGGTCCATGGAAACAGACCAGGGAACTAAAAGGTCACAAGAGCATTAAGAATTTTCCTTGAATAATTTCAGTTGAAAAGCTCCTAGACATTAGAGCACATTTCAGAGTTGTGGCTGTTAACACACCCATGAAAAGCATTGTTAATAAGGCAAGAGACAGCAATCTCCACTTTTTTTTTTGTTTGTTCGTTTAGCTTTTTTTGGTCCACCAGCTCCTCAGACTACCACTGAAAAAAAATCCGTATCTCTGTGCTTTTAGTGCAACATAAAAAGCAGAGGGCATCTAATTTTCTTGCAGGAATG